GGGAGGTCTGTTATATCCACCCCCCTCTGGAAATCCTCGGAGGCCTCTGGGTCTCTCAACGAGCGCAGGTCGTTGGCAACATCTCTCGCGCACTCGTGCGGGAGGAGCCTGGCGACTCGATCAAGGTCCGATGCTACCTGTTTTTTGTCGCCGGCGAGGGGCCGCGCGCGTGTCGGCCGTCGCGCGGCGTCGGCGTCGCGAACTCGATGGGCGACGACCCAAAAAGCGCGCAGAATCTGAATGTTCCCCAGGGTGTGCGATCCATGCTTGGCGCAACTTAACTCTGCGAATCAACGGTTCCAGCGAGGAGGGGGCCAATTTCCAATGTGCTAACATGTCTGTTGCATCGTGCTGTCACGCGCGATCCGTCCCACGACGTTGCCTCGCCTGGCATCGCGTTGCGCCCTAGACGTGCCAGTCGCCCATCCAAAATAGTAGCGTCGGCCTCCGTGGCCGCCATGGCGTTCTGAACGAGCCCGATGAAGAGGCCGCGTCTCCATCTTTTCGGGCCCCCCAGACTCCGGGCCCTGCCCGTGGAGAAGAACCCCGACCTAGCCGCGCTGCACCTCCGGGAAATCTCAGCCCTGCCCGAAACGCTCAACTGCAGGTGAGGCCCAATATACATAAGCCTGTTCCTCGAGGGGCTTCATGGGGAGAGAGGGGTCTTGTCGGAGCAACTGTCGACGCTGGTAGCCGCGTGCAGCGAAACGCATGAGGCACTCCTGCCTGGACACGCATATAACCGTAACCGGGATCCGCGAGCAGCAGATCCAGCCGTGCATCGACGTTCGCGATCTTGGCTGTGAAACCCTTCAGCGACATCTGCGGACCATTCAAGACAGACCTGTTCATTTCATCCGCAAGCTTGCGCGTGCTCAGATCAGCCTGAAGCCCCAGCCAAGACGCCCTCAACTTCTTCGACTGCGCATCACCTTGGGACTCGCCGTGTCTCCACGGCAAATTTGGGCGTGAGGACGTGCCCGCGAAAGCTCGGACTGCAAATGGATCCCCCATCGTGTTGCCCTGCGCATGTCGAACTGTGACGGGGCCCTCCGAGGCTTCCAATTAAGGAATTGCGTTCTTGTTGTTGGCAGAGAGCTTGATCGCATTCTCGGGAGTGAAGCTGCGCCGTAGTGTCGAGCTGATCCCAGGAGGGGCTGCCGAAGACACTCGACATGTTCTTGAGCGTCGTAGCATGCGTGATATTCGGCGCCGTGAGGCGCCGCGAAGTAACCAATGCCCCCATGACAGCGTCCTGTCTACGTCGGTGGCGGCAGTAGCCATGATCTCGTTCGACGGGAGAAGGGCATGGAAGAGTCGGGTAGTGAGCTTTCCCACTGCTGCCATCGCGCGCTCCGCTCGCCGCCCTCGGTGGCCAGCTTGACAAGCTTTGCATCGGCCCACCCCTCCGTCCCGTGCCAGTAGGGGGGGGATGATATTGTGCATCCTGGCCTTCGCAAGTCTCACCCCCACCGCGAATCTGAAGCCTGATGCCGTCGGCGCGCCCAACGCATTGCCTGGGCCCTGGCCGCGTTGTTGTTCAAGCGCTCTCTTCGGAAGGAAAACCAGTAGCCGTAGCTCAAGCAGAGCAGAAACATCAGGAACTGCTCGTCATTTTGCTGCGTGCCGCATCCATCGAATTACTCGGTCCAAATCTTCTTTATATGGCCCAGTAACTTCTTCGCCTGGTTCCCATGCGTACTGCTGGCCATCGCGCTCTGCTCGCCATCCCATCCAATCTTGCGGCTGCACCGCCGTGCCTCCCTGCGCACCTTCGATGGGGCCGCGCCCCGCGCCGTGCCTGAGTGGGCGGTGGCGCCGGTCTTACATGTAATCCATCACGTTGTTCTGATCCGAAACACGTGTCCTCGCCACTCTGCTTGCCAATATCATTGCCTCCGCCTGTCTAGAATGATTTCGCAAATCTGAAACCTCCGATACCAGCTGAGATTGTAAAGCTCGAGAAGTTCTGCGACGGAGAACACGCTGCTCTTGCGAAATACGCTTCGGCTCTTCATCAATCCTTTGGGCCTCCTCCACTGAAGCCTCCATCCCCCCTCGCGTAGGTCCGCGCGCTGGTGGAGTAGCCCTCGTCGTTCGATGTCGCCATGCTAAATTGAGCTTGGCCCGCCGTCGTAATGCATTTTCCAATGGGTCAACAATCTAATCAGGTGAGCCGTTGTCGCGCAAATAGTGGTATGCTCCTCGGGAGTCGAATTATTCTGCGCAGCCTCGAGGAAACTCGCTTTGCCAGTGCCTCTGAGAAGGGCCGCCGCACTTTGTCCCGATCCCACCTCAGACGTACTGGAGCGCATGCAATGCACTCCAATGGAACATGGTCCTGCAGACTCGGACCACGAAGTGCCTGGAGTCGGAAACCCAATCGATGCAGGACATGTGCGTGCGCGATGAGACTCTCCATGCCCCTCGGGATGGATGCATCGTCAATTCGGGACTTACGACCATCCTGGCCATAGTAAGTCGGCACAACAGAGGTACCACGTCCATTCGTAGCCACCATATCATGCGATTCTTATAATCCACGAGGCTGCTCACTTGCTCCCTTCCGCAACCTCTCGGGTAATGGTGCCTGCGCGACTGAAGTCGCAATCGCGTCCCCTCCTCCCGCTGGCAGGCCTATCCTGTCGTTGGCGTCGCAGTGGATCACGGGCGTCGTCCTGTGCGGTACTGCAGAGAGAAGATCGCGTAGCCATTCAATTATAACTCGAATCGTACGAAATCAATGTGCCTGATGCTGGAGGCGAGACGGCTTTAGATGAACATGCAAACATAGCCCACAAAGATCACTTCGTCCCCGCTTGACTCGAACTCCAAGACATCTTCCTTTGGCCTCTGGAGGCGAAGCCCGTATCTGAATAATAAGTTATTCCCGAAAGCCCTTGCCCAAGATGACGGTGCAACCTGTACTCGAGTTACTCTATGGAGCCGATGGACCGAAGGGGGATTCGATAACTACCCTCACCTGCACATGACGACGAAGAACAACGCTCCCTGAAAAACTGCTGCCTTCGATCCATCGCCTGAGCTCCAACCACTAATATCAGGTTAGAAGTCTTCACCACCACCTCCTCCAACCTGTCCCCCGTGCATGACGGGGGGGGGGTCCACCCTGATAGATAGAGTTGTTGCTGCTGTGCCATCGACGCCCTCAGAGGGGCCAAAGCAACTGGGGCATGCTCGGCCCCTTGACGATGTACTGCGAAAGAATATCGCTGCCCCTGGAATGGTCGGCTCGACAGGAAAGGGGCTAGGGGGAGGAGGAGGAGAAGGAGGAGGAGGAGGAGGAGGAGGAAGCATGCAGGTGGATAAGAAAGGAATCTCCGTCCGCGCTACGTATGGGGAACTCCTGGGCGAGCTCCAGTCGGTTGGCCGCGCGGAGCGGCTGGCAGGGCTCCGAGTGCTGCAGATTTCCCTGCATGCTTTGGTAATCGTCAGTGATCTCCTTATTTTCGTTGACGAGTGGCGCGGGTGGGACCCAATGCTGGCCTCCACGAGGGACACGCATGCGGGGACTTGCATTGCCATTTTCTGGCAGAACCGCCGCTCCGAATGTGAGTGAGTTCCCTCGTGTCTCACGGTGGAGACGGCGGTCGAATGAGGAATCTCGGTGCTGTATGTTCAAAACAACTCCTGGGCGGATCTGCTTGCTAAGTCAGGGACTCTAGACAATTCGGTCCCAAGAAATGCCGTGCGCAATTACGAGTGGATCCTGGACTCTTCGGTGGCGCACGAGGGCTTCCAAGGGCAAAACGTTGCACGCATTGCTGAACTTGGGCTTTGGAGCCAACCGTGGCAAGAGCAGCCAACGGTCCAAACTCGTGCTGTTCTGCTGTCGCAGAGGTCAGAACCGTGCGTAGTACGGCCAAGTACGGCGCCGAGAATGCAACAGGAATGCGCGCACTGAACTTTTATTGAAGTCTCTCCAGGATCTTGTCGCAAGACTGCTGAATGCCGACTGTGGAGCGCCGCCTTGGTGCGGCCTGGTATGTGAGCACCGCTCGAAAAGCAGTGAGGTGCCTCCACGAGGGCGCCTCGGCAGAGGTTGGCCTGGTTCTGTTGGTGGCGGCCGCCGCTGATACGAGGGAGGCCAACGGAATTGCTGAGAGCGGGATTCAGGGGCCGATCCCTCCCATCGAGTTGGCTGGCCTCGAGGAGCGATGCCACGATGCCTGCAGAACGGCGATGTGCAGCTCTGCCGACGCTGCGCCCCGTATGCCACCGGACGCAGCACCGGGCCCGCCAGTATACTGCGGAAGCGGTTCGTGGGCCGTTCCCATTTGGCCCACGCTCGGAAGTGCGCACAAGTCAATGGGTTCTGGAGGGGCGGCACCCGCGGACGGGGGCGCTCTTGGGATACGCAGTCGGTGGCCGCCTTGTGCGTCCGCGCGGGGCGCCCGTCGTCGGCGACCAAGCTGGCGCCGCCCTCCCGCTCTTTCCCGGGTCTTCTTCCTTTTCCTCCTCCGCCGCAGGTGGTGCAGGGTGAGTCACCGCCGCTAAACTTTAGCTTGCGGCGAGCGGGGAGCTCTGCGCCACGCACCGCCAGCAAGCGGCCTACTCGGGCCGCGCCTGCTGGCTTCTCACTCGACCGTTTCGGTTCGGTTTCGGCTGCTTGATTCCGTTTTGTTCGCATTTTCTTTTGCATTTTTCGATGTTTCGTTGACGAGCCGATTTGGCCTCAGTCGTCGTCCTCCTCCTCCTCCTCCTCCTCCTCCTCCTCCTCCTCCTCCTCCTCTTCCTCCGCCTCCTCCTCCTCCTCCTGCCATCCTCCTGCCGTCCTCCTGCCGTCCTCCTCCTCCTCCTCCTCCTCCTCCTCCTCCTCCTCCTCCTCCTCCTCCTCCTCCTCCTCCTCCCCCCCCCTCCTTCCTGACCTCTGGGCGCTTTCCAGACTCTTATCAGAAGCGAGATAGAATCACTGCTGGGCCTGCCAGCCTTGCGCAGTCTCCTCTCCCGGTGGTTCCTGCAAGCTTTCGGCAATTTTTTTCCTGCGGATGCGGCGTCGGCGGCTCGGTCTAATGTGCCCCGAAAAGAAAATCCTCCGGCGGAACAAGCTCTCCTTGGAATGCGACGGGGATGCTAATTCCGTGCAGGCTTGAAACGGAAACCAGTGGGTCTTGCATTCTCGCCCTCTCGCCCATTGACCAGTACGAGAGCGGACGATGACATTCTGCTGGAAGATGCAAGCTGCACGTGCAAGCTTAAAGCGGTCCCCTGCTTGAAACATCTAGCCGCTAAACGCGACGCGCGTATCACACCCGTGTATTGGGGTAAACGTGACTCTCGCTAACGTGGACACCGAATAATACGCTTATATCACTGTATGTTGTGCAACCTGCGTTGTGCAATCTGTGTTGTGCAATCTACGTGGTGCTATATATGTGGTGCAGTTGTTTCTTACAAATGAGTTGACACATTCCATGCCCTTGCAAAAAAAAAAATCCACCCACCCACCCGCACCTTGGTTTGCAAAACCCATGCGGCGGCGATTGCGATGAGTGGTTGGCGTTGGCTGGTGCATCTCTGCGGCCGCGCTGGCCCGCGCATGCTCGCGCGCACAACGGCCAGCCAGCCTGGGGCGACCGACGCGGCCACGGTGGCGCTGACCGCTGGGCACTTCCCAGCGGGCACTTCAGTGCGAGTCAGTGACTTGGGCGGGCGCGGCATCATGGCGACGCAGACAACGGTAGGCACGAATATGAGTGTAGCGATGATGGTGGCGATGGTGGCGATGACGACGGCAAGGCCGATGACGGCGCCGATGTTGATCACGCCCGCCGATAACGATGACGATGTCCTCGCGTCGGCGATGAAGGTTTTTGAAGCGCGCGGCCGACGCGTGCGGGTGGCCCGCGTTGTGTTATTTGGCACGGGTCGTGCCCCCCCCCAGCACGCGCGCAAGGGCGCTCGAATGAGTTCGACATGCGGCGCGAGAGGCACGTTCGGCAACATGTGATGATCATATTAAAGAACCGATACAGGCGTGCGTAAGAATCCGCAAGACCGCGAGCGCAGATTTTTTTGAAATCTGATGTTGCAAAACCATGCGTTTGGATATGTCTCCGGGGCACTCTTTTCAGGAAACCCTTACGACCCTTACGACACCCTGTCGTTGCGCGCGCGGGCGTTCGAACGATTTCGACATGCGCGTGCGAGAGGCCCGTTTGGTAGCACTGTATGAAAAAAACTGACCGGACAAACCTCGATGGTTTTCTTGTGATGGGGCAACATCACATGTGCATTGCAATGCGAAAAGGTGCACCGTTAAGCCTCGGTGGGCGGGGGGTGCATATATCCTGACTTGTCAATCGAACGGAATATATATGTTGTGCGCGCTATGTGGCAAACTTTGTGTGCCATTGATCTTGCAAACGTGTTTGCGCATTCCGTGCTCTTGCGAACGTTCTACCCACTCACCCGCAACTGCGCTTGCAGAACCCATGCGGCGGCGATTGCGGTGGGTGCTTGACGTTGGCTGGTGCATCTCTGCGGCCGCGCTGGCCCGCGCGTGCTCGCGCGCGCAGCGGCCAGCTAGCTTGGCGCGACCGACGCGGCCGCGGTGGCGCTGACCGCTGGGCACATCCCAACGGGCACTTCAGTGCGAGTCGGCGGCTTGGGTGGGCGCGGTATTATGGCAACGTCGACGACGGTAGACGCGATGATGATGGTTGCGATGCTGGTGGCGATGTTGCCAAAGACGACGGCACGGCCAGTGCGGGAGCCGATGCTGATCGCGCCGACGACGATGACGGCGTCCTCGCGTCGGTGATGGAGTTTTTGGAAGGAGTTCGACATGCGCGCGCGGCCGACGCGCGAGAGTGGCCCGCATGGTATTATTTGACGCGGATCGTGCCCCCCTTGCACGCGCGCAAGGGCGCTCGAATGATTTCTGCATGCGGAGCGAGAGGCTCGCTCGGCAGATGTCCATGAACATGTTGAAAAAAAACAATGGTTTTCTTGAAGAGTCGAAGCAACGCGCGCGCAAGATTTTTCGGTTGAAACTTGTCGTTGCGAAACCATCTTTTTTATATGGTTTCGGGGCATTCGGTTTTGACATCCTTACGAAACCCAGGAAGTTTTTGACAGATTTCGGCTCGAGCGCGCGACGACGCGCGCGCGTGCACTCCGTCTTACTTTTTCCAAAAGCGATTCTTGCGCCAGCACGGGCGCAAGGGCGTTCGAACGATTTCGACATGCGCGCGCGAAGCCCGGTTTGTAGCGCTTGGTGAACTTGTTGAAGAACCAGCGGTTTTCTTGTCGAGTCGCGCAGGTTTATTTGAGAACATCCTTGTTGCGAAACCATGTGCTTCCATCTGTTATCGGAACGCTCGGTTTGTATATCCTCACGACACCTGGAATTATGGAAAGATTTCGGCATGCGCGCGACGACGAGCGCGTGCGCATTTGTAAATTTCTTTGCGCGGACTTGTGAAAACTTCTAATTTTTGATAAACGGGTGTGCGCGCATAGTGCTGTTTGACAGCGATGACGGGGGGGGAGCGGTGCCGGCTGGGTTGAGATGGTGCGAGTCCAAATTTAAGATGGACGATGGGGCATAATCGCATGACACATGCAAAGCGGAAAAAGGGGGAAGACAACCCTGGGGGGTAGACTCTCATTTTAAAAAGGAATAATACATGTGGTTGTGCAACCCATCGGGTGCAACAGATGTTGTGCAACGCATTTGGTGCAACCTGCGCTGCGAGCGAGCAAAAAGCGCGCCGCAGGCGCGACCTTCTGTCGTGCAATCTATGTGGTGCACTCTTGCGGCGGCGACGAGAAGGCGACGGGGCGACGGCGGCGGGAACATCCAAACCGCCCACACGGCCCAGACGACGGGCGGCTACGAGGCGGTGGCGGTGGGAACATAGCCGCCAGACCTCCCAGGCGGCCCAGCTCCTTAGACAAAAAGCACTGTTTTGAGAATGTTTCGATCTGAAGGCCAAGGCCTCCAGCACTGCTCTTGAACTCAAGCTGTTATCGCTACAGCGCTCCGCGACTGGTCGCTGTTGCCGCACAGCCCCGCGCTGTAGCAGCTCGACCTGCCCGGGCGCACAGTCTTCAACGTTGTCGAAAGTGTCCGCTCGCGCTGGCAAACTACGGGCTCCCCAGTTGCCTGCACCGCACGGCTATGCCCCTTGCGCGAACGGCTGGTCTGCGTTCCTGGAAGCCGCACTCATGCCATACACGTCAAATCTCGGAGATCCGAGCGGATTTCTTGCGTCGGCGCCCAAGAGGGGGGTCCAGCTACAGGGGGGTGGGTGCAATAGATTCGTGGGTTGCGGTAGATCTGGGGCGTGCGATACACTCCAGGGCGCAGAGGTATTGCTTGATTTCCGCAGTAGTCGCCGCTGCCTACCCCCCCCCGCACCCCTTCCCTGACGCGCGGAGCGCGTGGGAGGGGTGGGTGGGAGGTCGGGGATGGGGGCCAGAGCGTCCCCCCATGAAATCCGCGCGAATCCACGAATGCTTCCTTCTGTTTCCGCAGTTTGTCCCCTGCTGCCAGGTGGAGCAGCCGCCGCCACTGGCCCAGTTGGCGGCGCAGTGCTCGAACAACGACAACTTGGGGGACTTGTTTTTCCACGGGTGATGCGCGGCGTGCTGGTCCTGACGAGCGGCGAACATATCCGTTTCCGCGCTCTCGTGGTCTGGATTCTGCGGCGCGATCCCGCGGATACGCGGTCGTACGGATACGTTTCGCGCGGGGCATCCCCGAGAAAACGCTCCGTATCCGCGGGGTCGCGACCCAGGGGCCCGGCCCGCGAGGCCGCGGACACTGAGATGTTGTTCGCCCACCTAGTCCCACGTGTCGTAGAGCATGCCTGCGTTAGACGCTTCGCCTGATGGGCACCACTGCTGCACCTCTTCCCACTGCCGCTTGTCTATGTCGTTGAGCCTGAGACCGCGGATCATGATGCACGCCTCGATGGCGTCGACCAACTTCTGCATGTGTTCACGCGGCACATGCAACCTGGCGGCCGACCGCGCGATGTTGAACATCTGCTGCGACGTCAGGAGCCCCTTGGCCACCCACTCCGCCGCCTGCAAGGACAGCAGAATCATGAAGGTCATCACTGATCGTGACTTCCGTCGGGTCGGACGAAACGGGGAGTAAGTCAAGGGGGTGAGAGAATCAGCTCACGTTGCTGACTTTCTCAGCGCCTCCAGGCGCCGGAGGCGCCAATACAAATGGAGGGAAGCGCCAGGCGGCGGGGCCGAAACCAGCTGCAGGCAGCAGATTTCGTACCCCTCCCTATCCTTATAAATATTCCCTTTTCGTCCGACTCGATTCTGTCCCCAGTGCGACAGTGCCACAGCGACACCAGCAACGTCCCGCCAGCTTACAGTGGTGTCTGAGCCATGCTTGTCGCGGCGCAGATGGTTCGGGTGGGTCGTCATGCGCCGCATCATCTCCTCGGCCACGGCGGAACAGAAGCGCTCTATCGTTGACCTCGGGCGTTGGGTCAGGGGGAACCACAGATCAGTACGGGGGCATCGACGGCTGCGGGAAAGGGACCCTCAAGGAGCCCCTTGAAAGGGCCCCCCTGGGGCCCCGAAGGTGCACGAAAGGCGCACCTTCCCCCCCCCCCCCCTCCCCCCCCTCTGCCCCTCTCTCCCTCCCCCCTCTCCCCACGAAAGGCGCACCTTCCCTCCCCCCCCTCCCCCTCCAGCCCTCTCCCTCTCCTCCCCTCCCCCTCCCCACCCCCCCCTCCTCTCCCTCCCCCCCTCTCCCCCTGGCCCCCCCCCCCCTCCCCCTCCAGCCCACCGCTCCCCGTCCCCAGTGGAAGCAACGCCCGACGACCTGGCGCTGCCGCCCGGCGAGAAGTTGTCCATGCGCACGCAGGCCCACAGGAGGTTTGCCACGGCCTGCGCCGAGTAGCCCCCCAGCTCCGCTGTGCAGTGCACCATCGCGGCCTCGAGGAAGGCCTGCGGCGCCGCTCCCGTCAGCCCCAGGGTCGCCAGGGCCCAGGCGATGTTGGAGACCCCCTGGTCTTCGAACCGGTCGATGCGCTCCGCTGCCACCGCGGCCAGCTTCCGCAGCAGGTCGTTCACCGGCGCGGGCCGCGGCGACGCACGGCCGCCTCGGGCCGGGCCGGCCTCCTCCTTCCTGAACTCGTAGAGCTTCCCGTACGACCACGCCACCATCGAGAGCTCCTGTGCCTGAGGAGGAGGAGGCAGAGGAGGAGGAGGAGGAGGAGGAGGAGGAGGAGGAGGAGGAGGAGGAGGAGGAGGAGGAGGAGGAGGAGGAGGGAGGAGGAGGGGAGGAGGAGGAGGAGGGGGGAGGAGGAGGAGGGAGGAGGAGGCTGCGCCTGGAACTCCAGCAGGCGGCCCGCCGCTGCCTCGGCCACGGCGAGGAGCGTCGGCTGGAGGCCGCTGCCCTGCGGGCCTCCGCCGGCGCCCGCCGTGCGCCGCCGGGCGAGGGCCCAGAGGACGTTGGCGAGCCCCTGGGGCGTGAAGGGCTCGAGCTGCGCTGGCGCGCGGAGGCGGTCCAGGGCCAGCCCCACGTACCTGAAGGGGGCCCCGGGACAGACAAGCGAGTGGCCACACATGACAGGATGCCTCCTATTTTCCCACACTCTCCGGGTTTTTGCCCCCCCCCCCACCCCCCCTCCCTCCCCCCCCACACTTCTCGTACTTTCCCATCTTTTCTGGGGAATCGGCGATGAATTGTGTCTGTGTTTGTTTCCCTTCTGAGTACCGCTCCACGTCGGGCCCGCGGGCCTCGAGGCGGGCCATCGCCCAGAAGGAGTTTGCCATGCTCTGCGACGTCAGGACGGCTACCCGCTGGGCGCACTGGCGGATGATGGCGTGGGACAGTACGCTGACCCGATGCACGTGGCCCTGTGCACCACTCGCGCCCCCGGGGAAGAGCCTAGCGATGCCCCAGAGCGTGTTCGTGATGTCCTGCGGGGAGCACTCGGATATCACATTGGGCAGCAGGCCGCAGATGTGGAATATGCACTCCGCCATGCCCGGCAGCAGCGGCGGCGACTTCGCATGAGAGCGCATGTCGAGCTTCCCAAGCGTCCATGCGAGCTGCGCGAGTGGCCTTTGGAAGCCTACCGCATGGGGTCCGAATAGATGGCGTCGGAGGATCGCACCGCATCGCAGATGCCTCGGAAATGTACCGGTGACGTCGGCGATGCGTCTTCGCCGTCGGCGTGGAGAACATATGACTACCTACCAGACCGCCCCAACCTAACCCGAAGACCCACATTTCGGGTTGGGGGGGGTACGGGCTCCCCGTGCTTTTGGTTCAGTCTTCCCCGACCCTCCCCCTTTGTTGGGAATCGAAGGCAGATTGGGGCCTTCAGGTTGGGCTGGGGTGGCTTGGTGGGCGGTGAACATCGGGCTCCGCATCGAGCCGCGTCGCCGATGCATCGGCCGACCGGATTCGTCGGTGGACAAGCCTCCCTTTAGTAAACCACCCTTTAGCGGAAACGGCCCAAGACCGAAACCGACGGACCTGGACCCGCAAACGTAAACGGCCGTGCGCGACACCCTCTAGCGAACCCAAGACGGCCAATCCACCAATCGACGTGCCAGGGTAGGAGGTCTGTCAACCTCCGACCGATCGTCCGACCCCATCTCTGCACGAACGAGATGGGTACGGAAAGAATGGCCACACTGCTCAGCAGCAGCTCCTGCTCACTTTTGAACAGGACTCGCTGTCCGCGCCGCCGCGGCCCGTGCCCACTCGAGACAGAAGGCCGCCTGCCCAACAGCGGCCGCTGTTGGTTCGGGACAACATTTGCTGTGGGGCACCAGCTCACGTAGCTGATTTTCCCGGCGCCTCCCGGCGCCAGGAGGCGCCCATGTATCGAGGAATGGGCCCCTCGGCGGGGCCGAAACCAGCTGCATGCAGCAAATTTTGTACCCCCCCCTTTCCCAATCCCCCCCGTTCGTCCGGCCCGAGCATTGTACCCAGAACACTCCAAAACATCGTCCCCAGACCCCCCCAGGCCCTCCAAGATAGCCTGGAAGAGACCCCCCCCGAAATGAGACCCCCCTCCCTTTATTACGAAATCTGGAGTACCCACTCTTTCCGTGCCCATCTCGGGCGTCCAAACCATCTGCTCGGACCCCGCGCGGGAGGCGCCGGGAGCCTGGCGCTCTGCAGCTCGGCGAGGCCCGCCGACAGCCGCAGCAGCAGCGGGCGCAGGCGCGGGCCCAGGGCGGGGCTGCGCGCCGCGGGGAGCGCCGAGGGGAGCCGGCGCGCCACGCGGTGGAGGGCCTCGGCGGCAGCGTCGGCGGTGAGCCGCGGCAGCTGCTCGCTCACGGCGTCCGCTGGCCACCCTGTGGGCCTTCCAGGCTGTGGGTCGTCACTTGGCGTGGCACTGGCTCTCGTGCTCTGGTTTCGGTGCAGGCTGCTGGAAGAAGTGTGCTTGCATCCTGCCCCCCCCCCCCTCTAGAAGTCCCCCCCCCCTCCCCCCTCGAGCAGCCGCAAGACCACGGTCCGAAGATGCGCTGTGCGTCCTGTGTTCCGCGCGAGCCCTCGCAACGTACGCCGAATCCACGCTCCCACGGCCACGATCGTGTCACATTGCACTGGGTGCTCGTTCTCAGGGCCACGACCCCTTGCAAAGCTCGGGTCGGGCGAAAGGGGGGGATAGCAAAGGGGGGGGGGTGATAATTGCTCACGTAGCTGATTTTCCCGGCGCCTCCCGGCGCCGGAGGCGGCCATGTATCGAGGAATGGGCCCCTCGGGGAGGCCGAAACCAGCTGCATGCCGCAAATTTCGTACCCCCCCCTTTCCCAATCCCCCCCTTTCGCCCGACCCGAAAAGCACAAGGGCTCCGTGGTTTCAGGGCCACGACCCCGTGTGAGTCACAGCGTCTTCGCGCTCTCCGCGGGCCGCGAGCCCTCGCAGAAGCCGCGGCCCCTCGCGGACTGCCCAATGGGTCCGCGCTCCGAGAGCGCCACGATCCCGTGCTGGGTCCTGCGAGTCCAGGGCAGCGATCCCGGAGGAGTCACGCTGGATGCTCGCTCCCAGGGTCCACACCCCTTGTGAATTGCGACGGCTCGCGCTCCAGGGCGAGACCCCCTTGCATATATATATATATATATATATATGTATATATATACACATATATATACATACATACATATATACACCATTCCCCGAAAAGACGACGATTCTTCTACGCGACCTGTAGAGCCCGCAAGAGGGCCAAACATTGCTCCCAGCGCGCCCAGAGGGGGCTTCAAGAATTAGGCTCCCCAAGAGCAGCAAGAAGGCTGACGCATGGAGCTGCGAGGCTCCGAGATGGACGCGTGGAGCCCCATGGGACCACGAAGGCTCACCGAGAGACGGGAGGCGTCTTAGGCGCCCTGTGGGACGATGTGCAGAACGAGTAGGATGACAATGGCGACGACGACGCTTGCGACGAGGGGCTCCTCGATGCCTCGGTCAGGGGGGGCGCCCTGGCCGAAGGCCCTCAGATCAAGCATGGCTTCCGCGGTCATCATGCCGTCCATCTGGTCCAAGATCTGGATGGCCTCCTCGGCCACGCTGGCAATGTCGAGGGCAGCTGAGTTGTGGACGCCCGGAATGGGTACGGGACCATGAGTACGATGCCCACGAAGAAATGTTGTCCCAAACCGACAGCGGCCGGTTTTGGGCAAGCGCCCTTCTGTCTCAAAGGGACAACGTCCGCGGCGTCGCAGACAGCGAGTCCTGTTTCCAATGAACAGGAACCCCAGACATCCGACGCCTCGATTTTGTCCGAGACACTGGCCCCCGACCTCCCGACCACTTCCCCAGGACCGGTTTTTCATCCCGAGTCGTTTTCCGACGGTCCCGAGGCTTGGCGAGGGCCCCGAGAGGCCGAGAAGGGCGAAACACCTCCGTCTCGATCTCTTCGAGACGCCCGAGGCCTGGGACTGCCGTCGGCCCTTGTGCCCATTCTCTCCGTGCCCGCTCCGACCGTCCCGAGGAGTCCGCGGCGCCCCCCGCGACGACGCCGGCGTGCTGGCTGCGGGGCGCCGCCGCGGCGCCCGGCCGCCCGCGCCCAGCCGCAGCCGCGCCCTGCGGGCCCCCGCACGCCTGCGCGCCCCGCGGGCCCGGCGGGCGTGCCCCTGGCCCGGGCGGCGCGAGACCGGGCGGCGGGGGCAGCTGCTGGACGGTGGGCCGGGCCCTGGGCGCCGTGTGCGGCAGCTTCTGCGGCGGAGCCGGCGCCCCAGCCCCGTCGTCCTCTCGGGGGGGCGTAGGGGACCTCGAGCTCGGGGTCGCTCGGGTGGGCCCGACGGGGCCATCACGAGAAGGCTGCGATCCGAGTGCCTTGGGCGTCGCACGACGGGGGGGGGGCGCGACATGGGAGGGGGGGGGAAGAGAGGGTGCACTTTTCGGGCCCCGGAGGGCTCCTGCTGGGCCCCAGTGGGCCCCCTCAGGGGCCCTGAAGGGCACCCTTTTCTGCAGCCCTCGCTGCCCCCCCCGTTTGTCACCCCCATTACGCGACGCCCAGGGCGCCCCAGCTCCGTCCTCGTCCGGGAAGAGCTCGGCAGCGAGGGCCTCGAGGCGGTCCAGCTCGGCCTCGTCGTCGGTGCAGGCCTCCAGGCTGGCGCTGAGGTCCGAGGCTTCCTCCAGGGGCTCGAGCAACGACCCTGGCGGCGTGAGCCAGGGCGCAGGCCCCGAGGGTGCCATGGGGTCAGCGTGCTCGCGATCGGCCACTGTGGTGGTCGAAACTCTAGCGCTCGGCTTGAGCCGAAAGGGCCTCTCCGCCATCCCGATGGCGCGCGTCGCGTCGCTGGGAGATCACCCCAGCCGCGGACGCGGAGGTGGAAGGGGGACGGGGGAGAGGGGAGGGAATGAGCCGAGGTGGTGAAGGGGGAGAGGAGGAGGAGGAGAAGGAGGAGGAGGAGGAGGAGGAGGAGGAGGAGGAGGAGGAGGAGGAGGAGGAGGAGGAGGAGGAAGGAGGAGGAGGAGGGAGGAGGAGGAGGAGGAGGAGGAGAGGAGGAGGAGGAGGGAGGAGGGAGGAGAGAGGAGGGAGGAGGGAGGAGGGGAGGGAGGAGGGAGGAGAGGAGGGAGGCGGGAGAGGGAGAGGGAGGGGAAGGGGGTGGGGGGTGTGGGGGGGTGGGGGGGGGAGGGAGGGAGGAGGGAGGAGGAGGAGGAGGGGAGAGGAGGAGGATGAGAGGGGAGAGGAGGAGGAGGATGAGGAGGAGGAGGAGGAGGAGGAGGAGAAGGAAGGAGAGGAGGGAGGAGGAGGAGCAGCAATGGGAGCATGAGCAGGGAGCAGTAGCATGAGCAGAGGGAGCAGGAGCAAGGAGGCAAGATGAGCAGTCAGCACGCGGGAAGGGAGGGGATGGTCGCCAGGCTTTAGAGTTGCTTTAGAGGTGATGATGGGAGGGAGGAGTGAAGTCGGAGGAGGAGGAGGAGAAGGAGGAGGAGGAGGAGGAGAAGGGGGGGGGAGATCACCGCTGGGCGCCGTTTCCGCGGATGCGCGGCGATCGGCGGCCCTCGGGGGCCCTCGGCGGCCCTCTGCGGCGCGTTCGGCGGCCTGGGACGGCCACACCACGGCTCCCATGCACAGGTCAGCGGGGAGGTCGTCCCTGTTTGGCGGCCCCCCCCCCCGCCAGCCAGGAGGCATCGGGGCGAATCGGCTGACCCCGATGCGCGCGCCCCGACCGCCCTTCCTCCCCGGGCCTCCGGCGTCGTGGCTTCTCAGTATCGGCGCTCTTCCCATGTTTTCACCCTCGCCTCCTCTTTTTTGGCGTTCTCAGTCGCCATACGTTCGCGTTCGAACTCCTGGCCAGTGGTTCTGCTGGCTATTGTTGCGTGTTCTCCGTCGCCATGGCCGCCATGGTTCCTCCCTCTCCTCGTTTTTCGACCTTCGAGTCGTACGAACCTCTGGCCAAGGGCTCATGAGGAATCCATTTGCACACACACACACACACACACACACACACACACACACACACACACACACACACACACACACACACACACACACACACACACACACACACACACACACCACCACCACACACACCACAACCACCACCACTACCACCACCACCACCACCACGCCACCATCACCACGACCACACACACACACACACACACACACACACACACACACACACACACACACACACACACACACACACACACACACACACACACACACACACACAGACACCGTCGCCAGGCGCACGGCTGAACGAATAAATGAGTGGGGGATCAGGCCCCTGGAAGCCTGGGGCCCCCACGGAGGGAGCCAGGCTGAGGCAGAAGTTATGCTGTCTTGCCAGGACCTTGGCAGTGCCTCCAAAGTCCCCCGCGGCCCGGACAGCGTGGGCACATGTTTCTCGCCCAGATGGCTCTGTTGACGGCCTCCCAGGGCCGTCAACAAGGCTATCCGAATCAGAAGCACGCCCCCTGGAAGGGCTCGAGAGCTCCAAGGGGGACTCTTCCCGTCGCGGCGCGGCAAAGGCGATCCCCTCGCGTGCGAGCTGCGAACTGCGACCTGCTTGGAACGCCGCGGGGGCGCTGCAAGGTGGGGCCGAAGCACCCAGAAAACGACTATACAGCACTACCGGAATTCGTCTGGGAAATAGCGAAATCTACAACATCGTTCTCTAGATCGGCCCACGTGCTGGTCCAAGCGAGTTTCATAAGATAAGGGGCGGCGGGCTGCGGAGTTGCGAGATATCCCGCGTGCTAGGAAGGGGGGAGAAGAAGGCGAAGGCGGCCGCGGAAGGCGTTGGGGAGGTGGGGGGGCACTCTCGCGCGGCGGCGCCGCGGGGAAGCCGTGCCGCCGGGGGTCTGGGGACCCAGCCTCTGCACTTCCTCGAATACAGTGAGGATCTTGACCTACGGGACCCTAAATAAGGAACGAGGCCCCTTTTTTCCACAAGTTAAACTTTGATTTCCCATCGAAAACATACGGAAAACATTGGGCAAGCTGTGACACAATCAAGGAACACCGAGCCCCTCCCCAGCGAAAAAGGTTTCTTCTTCAGCGCCTCGACTGTACGGGGGCACCGTCATCCGGGGCCCTGCCCCAGGCCTCCGACGTCGCGATATGTTGCACGACGCTTGGACGACGGCATGCGCACCCTTCCTATGCCAACCATCGGTGCTCCTGACTCGATGGGATGCGGGGGTAGGGGTAGAGGGTCTCATTTCGGGGGGGGGTCTCTTCCAGGCTATCTTGGAGGGCCTGGGGGGGTCTGGGGACGATGTTTTGGAGGGTTCTCCCACGGGGGGGGGTCTGAAATGGCTTGTCTTGGAGGGTCCAGACCCCCTCCCTTTTATTACGAAATCTGAACCCCTCCCCCGCCGCCCATCGAGTTGCCCGAGGCTTGGCGGCGTGCACAAGGGGGTAGGGGGAGAGGAAGGTTTCTTAGAAGGAGGCTGCTCCTTGGAGAGCGCAAGCCTTGCACACACACACACACATATATATGTGTATATATATAGGTACACATATACTTATATCTGTATATATGTACACATATATTTATACTATCACTATAAACATGTATGCACGTATGTCTGTATGCACGTACATGCGAATGCATATAGCTATGCACGCATGCATGAATGCATGCATGCATGTATGTATGTATGGGTAGATGGATGGATGGATGGATTGATGCCTCCCTGCCTGCCTGCCTGTGTGTGTATGCGTGTATGTATGGATCGATATATGTTTGCATGCATGCATGCATGCATGCATGAACGCAGGTATGTATGTATGTCTGTACGTATGCATGCATGCATGTATGTATGCATGTATGCTGTGTGTACATAGGTGTGCATGTATGTATGTATGTATGTTTGTTTGTATGTATGTATGTATGTGTGCATGCATGTATATATGTATGTATATATATACATTTATATATATATATATATATGCGCGTATGCATGTATACATGCACGTATGTATGTACACACTTATGCATACATACATGCATATTTACATGTACGTATGCATGCATGTGTGCATGTATGCATGCATATATGTATGCATGTATGCATGCATGCATGCATATATGCATAGGTATGTATGTATGTATGCATGCATGCATGTATGTATGCATGTATGCATGTGTGTATGTCTGTATGTCGCTATGCATGCATGCATGCATGTGTGTGTATGCATATACGTGCATGCATGTGTGTATGTATACACATATATGTATATATATATATATGTATGACTGTATTGTTGTATGCATGCATGAGCGTATGTATGTCTACATGTATGCATGTACATACGTATGTATGTATGTTTATAATCATGCATTGATGTATGTATGTATGTAAATGTAATTGTAATTGTATATGCAGATGTATCTGTATATGTAATGGATATGTATATGTATGTGTGTATGTATGTGTATATGTATAGGTATATGTAGATGTGTCTGTATGTATGTATGTATGCATGCATGCATGTATGTATGTGTGTGCATGCACGTATGTATGTATGCATACATGCATGCATGCATGTATGTATGCATGCATGTATGTATGCATGAATGTATGTATGTATGTAGGTATGTATGTATGTATGTATATAGGTGTATGTATATGTATAGGTATAGGTACATGTATATGTATGTGTACATCTATGCATACACATATCGATAGAGAGAGGAGGCCTGCGCCTTCTAAGAAGCAGGGGCGCTCGGGGCCTTCCCCGGGGGGGTCTGGCAACGGCCTTCGGAGGCCATGTGTGGCCAAGGCCCTTCCGTCGCGACCTTTTCGCCCCGGTTACTTTGCGACGCGGGCCCCGCGGCCCTCGACTTCATCCCGCGGACCGGCCTTTGTCGTGGGCAATGCTTCGACGGCCCATTGGCCCTGCGGCCTCGCGAGGGGATCCAGATTCTGAGAGACCGCTCAGTATTTGTTGGCTTCGCGACGCCTCGAAGCCAGGAGCCAGGCTCTTGGGGGGAAGAAGAACTTCGCTCCTTTCTCCTCCTCCTTCTCGCTCCTCCTACCCTGGGGGTCTTATCCACAATCTTGAGCCTGACTGCGACTCCGTGGCGGTCCTCCTC